GTAGATTGGAGAAAAGAGGCTAAACTGAGGAAAAATTGTAACTACCTACTCTAATGAAACAGAATGTCTACGTAAATGGCGGCTATGGATAAAAAGCGTATGTATAAAAGATAATGAAATGCATTGAAAGGACCGTTGAGATCAGATGAGTGGTAAATTGTGAAAAAATGAATGAAGATGCATCGCTTTAATGAAATCACCAAAGGTTTATTCATTTTAAACTAATAAATAACTATACATAGTACAGATCCCGAAAATGCACCAGAACGAAAAAATAATGAATGATCGATCAGTGAAATCTATACTAAACAATTAAATATAATTAAAAAAGACAAGAAGGCGAGGTAATGGAAAGCAGAAGAAAGAAAATGAAATGCAGAAGCAGGATAAAGAGAAAGACAAGATGAAGAACGAGAATCAAGAGGAAAAGAAGATAGAAACAGAAAAAAAACGTAGAAACTACTAAAGTGGAATGGGTGGAGGAAAAAGAAGCTCAATTTTACTTTTAACCTTGAACACAAACATATACCACAGCAAGAAATCTGACCAAAACAGGAATTCAAGTTTCGACTGTATTACACGTACAAAGGACACTGAAAACTCATCCGAGTCTAAAGCTTTCTTTTTCTTTCAGGTGAGTGGTAGATTTGAACTGTGATATAGATATAACCCGAAAAACAATGTTAAAAAACTTTATTTGAACATTATGGTTTCAGGCGCAAGGGCATACCGCTATGTACGACGTTTCAGCCATACCGTAATATCCTTTTTTAAGACATGACATTTCGTAAACATCTCTTACGGTTATGGTCATGTAATGATGTTATTTGTATGTTCTCCCATTGGCATAAAAATAAAATGCATTTCAAACACTGAAGGCAACCATGAGCCCAAAACCATTAAAGCAGGGTGCCAGAAAACTGTGTATAAAGTAGAACGGTTAAGAGGATGGCGCGGAAGAAATTAACATTTTTCCAATCTTTACTTTATTGTCAACATTTCAGCCAAACAACCCTGACCTTCACTATGGCAAGCAGAGTTCTGATTGTATTTATAATCGCAGAATTGCTATCACTTATATTTGATAAAGAATGTTAGAATTCATATGAAAGAGGTAGATGGTGGTCAGAACCACTGCAAGTTCAAACCACTGCAAGTTCAAACCACTGCAAGTTTGAACTTTTTACCTATCGAAAAGTTACTCACTGCAGCAGCGACTGAAAATCAGGCGCACAACCTGCATTATTCAAGAACACAATGAACAAGAATATGCGTCATCGCTCAGCGACAACCTGCAAAACCAAAGAAGGCCTGAATGAATAAACTGACCATAAACAAAAGCCCTTTCTGTCTCAAAACTTTTACCTACTTACGTTATTAAACAGTAAAAGAAACAACACAAGGAAACAGACTGTAAATTTCTTTAACTTTGTCCTCGTATTTCAAAACGAGTCAAAATATACTTGATGAAAATACTTTAGGTTTAGGCTTTACTACAAAATGGAATTACATTTGGGGATGGTTCTTATTTTACGGAAGACCTTTATAAGATTAAGTGTAACGATCGCAACGGAATTTACATTGGAAATACGTACAAACGGATAAATATCAGAGTCGTTCAACGTCTCAACTGTCGTCAGATTGAATTCCTTTCGCCACTGTAGTTCAATGTTATGGTTTGACTACGTCATGTGGACAGGTGTAGTTCGAAGCGAAACTGAAGGCTTCGTCACCTGGCCAAGAAGCAGTTTCAAGTACTGAGTGATTTACCTTACCGATTTGAAGTATGCAAACAACACCACATTGTCCACATGAATGAGTCCAACGGTAGCTGCCCGGAAGACGCAATTGCTAATGTGTCCAATATGGCATCAGCCGTATTCAAAACGGTGGAGAATCAAACATCACGGTGCGACGGAGGAAGAAGTAGACTGTTTCATGTACTTGGGTTCAGTGATCGCGAACGATTAAAAGCTGTGACTCACACATTAATCCATCCATTGCAATTGTACCAGTAAACTTGGCAAAGCAGCATGACGCACAGAAAGATCGCTCAATATCGATTAAGAAAAATATCGGTCTTCTCCGCTCTACTGTATGGTTCTGAAACACCAACAAGTTTAAGTGAACTGGCTGCAGTGACGTTGCATCCGCAACAAACATCCTCAAATTCCGGTGGCATCATCGAGCAACGAACAATCACATACTCAAAACGGCTAAGGTGAAGAAGTTCTCTGAAGAAAGGAGAGACCGACACCTGTCCTGGTTCGATGAAGTGGCTCAAACAACAGAAGCCGTAAGTAAAACGTTCCCCCTATGAGAATCGCCCGAACAGAGGTAGAAAAGGAAAAGGGACCAGTTTAAAAGTTGGCAAAACTTCTCAAAAGCTGGTCTACTAGCGATAAAGAGTATGCCCTTTGTCGAAGCGATTAATGCTTAAAGTAAACTGAGGACTTCTTTCCTGCATGTCGGATATCATTAATCTCGGATAGACGCAGCTGTTAAGCGGCAGCTCTTCAAATAACTATGCCAAACAACAACTGTCATGATAAATACTCAAGCATTGCCTGCCATGCTACTGTAAGCGGATATGGCCTCAGTGAAACAATGATTCGATAACTGACAGTCACTGTAGGTCAAACAATAAAAATTCCGTTCATCCCGGCCACAACACCAGGTGTGCAATAAATTCTCTTCATCCTATGATTTAAGATGAAATTTCGATACAATGAGTAATGTGCTGCGAAAAGTGTAATGTATAGCTGCCACCGAGGATTACGCTAGTAATACTTCGTCAGTGTTCTAAAACATTTACTTCAATTTACTTATTTTTTATTCATTCAGTCTTGACGAAGTTACCGATGACGGCAAAGAAGCGTGTCAACTTTTCAAAGTAGTAGGCATTCTATAAAAAAGGTATCAAGGGAATTTAGGCAATGATTTTTTTTTAAGGTTGACAAATACTTGCTTATTTACATAGGTTTTTTTCATTTAACCATTAAAATGGTTTAGTTTGGATTAAGCAATGCGCAACTATCACTGTAAAATCCAGAGCAACATCCGCATCGATATTGCACCTGGAGATGGCGAGCTACCTTCAGGTACAGTTAAACCTGGAGTAAATTAATTTAATGTTTTTGTTCCTTTGTATAAAGAGCTGTTTTGGTTGTGTCGTTCGTTCTTTAGTAGCATTTTGAATGTTTTGAGCATAAAGCTAAGTTGTAATGGCATAAAGATGAGTTTGTAACGCCAGATGCACACGAGTTTAAGCAGCATACACAAAACTGACTTCGATGCGAAAATTAATTAATGCTTTGGCTCTTCACGTCGGTTTCAATCTAGGACTGCAGCGCTTTCTGGCCGTAGTGAGGTGAAAAAATAAAAACTAAAAACGGCAGAATAAAATATAACTTTATCAAACGCGCCGACTGTTGGCAAAAGCATCCTATGTGTGTTTACAATTTTGGTTTCCTGATCATACATCAAGAAAGCAGTACGCGAACAGACAGAAAATTGACAATGAACGTGTGATCATCTCTTACCATGTGGAGTGGGCGATGAAACAAATTATTAAGACGGAGAAGGGTCAGCGCCGCTGAGGACGGCAAATTTCGGACATTGACCCGATGACCATCAGGCGAAATTTGACGGACGATGCAAGAAACAACTAACAAGGAAAAGTCGGCCAGAAAAGCAAACCGGAACGAAAAGAAATAAGTACAGACGCTTTAACCGAGGTCGCTCGGCCGTTACTCGGTGTCTGTTGTACTCACGTGAACTCGATGGAGCTGGTTTCTTCTTCTTGTCGTCGTCGTCGCGTCCTTCGCGAGGAGGAGGTGAAAACGAAGGCGACGACAACAGATATCGAT